TGGCCATTTGCCTTTGCCTTGTTGTCCCTGGGCAGTTTTTTCCTCTGTTGCTTTATAATGTCTGGCCACCCCGTCTGATGTTCAGCCCAATGACCACATAATTGGTTCCTGTGATTTGGAAAGAGAAGACATATGCAAAGAGATTTCAAGTTGCCTTTTTTCCACATCTGGCCCTTGCTTCAGGCCCTTGCTAGGTTTTCAGTCTTCAGCATAGTCACTTGGAGTTTAATTCTGAAGACCAAAGTTATACCATGTCCACTTGTCTGGTGTACTGTTGAAATGGGAAGTAGTGTCTGTGTTCTTGGTCTGTGCCAAAGAATAGAGCCTAACGCTTTGAAAAGAGCTGTGTGTGTGTGTGTGTGTGTGTGTGTGTGAGTGTGTGTGTGTATGTGTGTGTGTGTGTGAGTGTGTGTGTGTGTGTGAGAGAGAGAGAGAGAGAGTGTGTGTGTGATGGTGGCTGGGGATTGTCATTGTTTTATCTTTTTGTCCAAACTTATATTCACCTGCCTGTTTTTCCTTACTTCATTTCTGCCCTTATATTTCTATTTTTCCACTTATATTTCTTTGTCCAAATTCGATGAATAATCTTAAATTCAAGAAGACAAAGTATGATTTTATTCATTATTGTTTCAATCATGGGAGAAACAATGGCACAAGGGTATATGGCCCCACTCCCCACGCTGGCCTCTCCCCTGGATTTCTGAGGCTCCACAGGTCCAAGGGCACAGCATGAAATTGATGAGGATGTGTGAACATAGGATGTTCTCTGTGCTGAGGATGGGCTTCTGCTGCATGAGGGAACCATCTGTGTATCTCTTCCTGTTCTTTCTCTGCTCATACTGTATGTTCAGGGCAGCCCCCCACAGGTGTTCCCAGAGGCTAGCCTCATCTACAGAACCCCTCACAGATGTTTCCAGAGGCTAGCCTCATCTAGAAAAAACCTTCACATGTGCTCCCAGAGGCTAGCCTAATTTTCAGAACCCCTCACAGATGTTCCCAGAGGTTTGTCTTACAGGTGATCCTAGATCCTGTCAGTTGACAAGATTAGCCACCACATCTTGTATACTGAGCTTCGAATTTTGGGCAAAAGTGAGCATGGATGCCAATCATAAGCCAATAGATATACCTTAGACTGTTTCATCTGATTGAAATACAGTATGTGTGGGACTTACATTTTTAAGTTGAGGCCTCTAAGGATTCAATTCCCAAGCCTCTTATAGGACCTCTGTTTATATTCAGTATATCTTAGTTCACACTTAGAGGCAGTCATAACTAAAGAGTGGCGGGTGTGGGTGGCTCTGTGAGGGACAGTTTGGTGCTACCCTGTCATCATGCTTGCAGATTCTAGACTTCAGGGTTCAGAACCACTTTTCCTCTCGGTGGACAGGTTCTGGCTCTGACTTGTGGGTTTTGAATATTTTAGAAACACATGACTGACTGCATATGTGAGTTGTTTACTTTCTTGTGTGTAGTATGCAGGCATGTGTAAGGATGTGGGTGCACATGTGTATGAAGATGGATGTACACAACTGAGTGCATGTATATTGAGCCCAGAGGTTGAGGATGTCTTTCTTGATCATTTCCGCCTTATATATTGAGACAGGATCTTTTATGTGAACCAAAAGCTTTTCTATTTGGCTATCATGGCTAATCAGCTTGCTCCAGAGCTCCCTTTCTGCCTCCCAAGTACTGGTGTTTCAGGCAGGCCACCACACACACCTAGCATTCACTTTGGTGTTGGGGATCCAAATTCTGGTTTTTGGGCTCACACAGAAAGTACTTTACCTGCTGAGCCATATCTTCATCCCTAAGCTGTTCCTTTTTGCATAAATCCTTAGTAACTTCTTTGGATATTTCAGATAGAAGCAATACCTGTTGAGAGTACACAATAGATAACTACAAGATTATTACGTATACCTATTGCTGGATAGCATTTAGCACACAGCTGCTGCTGCTGTTTTTCCCCCTGAAAATGACATCTCCACTAAGGCCTGGCAACAGTATGGTTTTTTGCGTATTCCAGTGGTAGAGACTTCATGCTAATTCGTGTTTGTTGACTTGACTGAGCAATCCAGTAGTGCAAACTGCATAGTCTGCTTCCTTTGAGAGGTCAATAACTCAAATGGAAACAGGTACGGGAGACTTCTTGGGTGAGACATTTTTTCCTTCTCCCATACTGGGAAGAAACTGATGAGGGTATATGGGGTATTTAATGTGACACACATTTAAGCCAGGCCTAGTGGCACAGACCTATAATTCTAGTTGCTCAGGAGGCTGAGGCAAGAGAGAGTCATCGATTCAAGACCTGCCTGGACTTCATAGTAGTTCAGAGCAAACCTGGACAACTAAGTGAAACTCTGAAGAAAGGACTGAGGATATAGCTCAGTGACAGAATGCTTCTCCAGCATACGCGTGACCCTGGGTTTAATCCCTGGTACTGAGAGAGAAAAAAAGAGGGAAGAAGGTAAGGAGGGAGGGAGATGTTTGTGCATATTAGACTACTTAATGTTTATGCAGTAGGGTACATTTAATGTAATCCTTGGTAAGTGAAAAATATTATTTTTACAGAGATGGAATTCTAGGTTAATTCTACAATATTTTATCGCTTTATTAGTATGTATGTGTTCAGACCCTACCTCAAAGGCATGGGTTAAGTTGACTGCAGAGCTTTACATGGTTTGCAAATACAATGGTCACTACAGAATGTGGCACACATTTAAAAATATATGCTAGGATTTGCAAAGGAAACCTGATTCTTAGCATTTCCAGGCTGCCAGAATAAAACAAAGGAAGACAGAAAGGCTTTGGAAAGAAAACTCTGATGCTTTGAAAGCCATATTTAGAAACTACCATGAATGTCATGCCTATATATAGCGAGCCTCTTTTAAGAAAAATAGCTCTCAGTCTTTGTTGTATATTCTGGGTCAGAGGTCTTGTTGAACATCAAGAGTGTGAGCTACAAAGATACATGGATCTGTATGACCAAGTTGGTCTTCTAGAAGCTCTGACGTAGCCCTTATTTTGAGGACTAAAACCATGGTGTTCAATTATTTTTCAACATAAAAGATCATGGCATGACTTGCTGCCCTACAGTGACTGACTTTGTTACCTTCTTGTTGGCTGTAGGTATTGTCACCTGTTCTGTGAGATGTAGGAAGACTTCCAAGAGTCGTTATTTTTGTGAGCATCTCTCCTGCTCCATTCTCCTTTTTATTTAGTCTGGTGCTCTAGTCCATGTTATAGCGCTATCTGCATTTAGGGTGAATCTTCCCTCTTCAGTTAAACCTCTTGAAATGCACTCACAGACACAGCCGAAAGTGTGCTTCATTAATTTCCTATGTGTTTCTTAATCAAATCAGGTTGATGATCAAAATTAACCATCACATACTCTCACTAGTAATGTATAAGGGTGCTGATTTCTCTACATTCATGTAAGCACTTGTCATTGTCTATCATTTTGATTACAGCTATACTAGTGCTTGGAAATGGTACCTCTCTGTGGTTCCCACTTGAATTTCTGTGACTGCTAATTACTAACAGCCATCTTTTCACGTGCTTCTTTTCAATTTACAGACACACACACACACACACAGAAGTTACTGAGATTCTGTGACTTTTTTTAAATTGAACTGTCTCCTATAAAATATATGATTTACAAATATTTTCATTCATCTTTCTACTTTCTTTACTTTGAAGCATTCTCTCTCTCTCTCTCTCTCTCTCTCTCTCTCTCTCTCTCTCTGTGTGTGTGTGTGTGTGAGAGAGAGAGAGGGGGGTGTCTCTCTAGGTAACCCAGGTTATTCCCTAACTCTCGACCTTCCTGCCTTAGCTCCCTGAGTGATGGGATTACAGGCATGTAATATGCAGCTAAAGTTAAAATGATGATTCTTGACCTTAACCAACTATCCCAGATTTTTGTCATGAGTGTTGTTTTTCAGGTAAGTTTTGATTTTGGGCTATTGTGAGACTCTTGTCTTCTGAGCATGTTGCTGTTTTAAAATAGGTTAGTTGCAATTAACTCCCACAAGTCCCTCATGTGATCAGGCCCACTAACAAAGTGTGTGAGGTTCTTCACAAGCCCATGGGGTCTCATCCTTCTTCAAGGGTGTGCAAGAAGTCAGTATTTGCCAGGGGAGATGGAGGCAGAATCCTCTCCAGTACAGTAGCTGCCCAGAAGTTGCTCATCTTCCTATTGGTAACTCTTCACCTATGCATCTGTGAGTAACATTAGTTAAACACAGTGGTTCCCCAAGCTAGACTTGAGTGGATAAATTCTTTTCTTTTGTCTCTCATTGGTGCGTAGAAGAGTAGAAGTTTGTTCATATCTGCTCGGAAAGGTCTCACCACAGTGTCTAGCTTTACCAATTTAAGGTTGCTGTTATTTTTTTAACTAACTGCTTATTTTTTCAACAGCTGTATTCTACAAATATATCTTATGTGTTCATGGCAGACTTGCCTTTAGCAGAGCAAAGCAGAATGCAGCAGACATGGATTAGGAAGCCAATAATGGTGCTACATCTCTTAACATTGCGAGTATGATTTGAGAAGTGTATCATTGGGCAATTTGTCATTATTTGAACAGCCCAGAGTGCACTTATACAAACAGAAATGGTCTGGTCAACCATCCATCTAACTATATGGGCTAGCTCTTAGTCTAGAAACATGGAAGAGAACATTCCATTCTCTTGGCCCTCTCTCACCCATTTTCACAATGCAATGTTTATTGACCTGGTCATGTGAAGGTGCCATGTAGGCTGTCCCAGACTGCCTCCGTTCACATAGGCAATATCAACACCAGAGGACAGAGTTCCACAGCAAGTACTGTTGTGTCTATATATACAAAGCAAATTGCAAAGGGGATTTAAAAAATGAATATTTTAGGATCATTGTTTCTGGATTTGATTTAGTAAACTTCAAGGTGAAAACCACCATGCGAAGAAATAGAAGTTTCTTTTCTTTTCTCTTTTTGAACCAGTTTCCATTTTCTGTCCTCTTTCTAGGCCTCTGATGATTATCACTCAGAAGATCACAACCTTGGCTTTTCAAATTCACGATGGTGAGAAAACAATCTTCCTTTGGGTTCTGAGAGCCATCCAGGTGTCCGGTACTCCCCAGTGTGTATTTCACACACAGTTCAAGCTTCCATGAGTGCTGGCAGGCCTTGCTCTCTCTTGTTCAAAGTTTCCAGGTCTCCATAGTCACACCCTTCTACTTTCCCAGCCTTCACTGCCTGTTGCTTTATTGAATCCACAGTCCGAACATTTGCTAAATGTTTGCTCCAAGAGCAGTGAGGTTTCTGTTTACATTTTAAAGTTAATTCATGATGCCCTCTGACCTTTTCCAAATTTATTAAGACAAAGGCTTCCTTTTAGCTTTGATTTCATCTCTGAAAAACTTAGAGGGCAATAAAAAATTTAACAGCATTGGCTGTTTAATCAGTTTTTAGGGGGTTTTTAGCCCCCTGGGGAAGATGTGTGCCTGGAAAAATCATCTGATGAGATTAGTTTGACCTATAAAAAGCTGGGAAAGGAGGAACTGAACCCTTTCTTCACTTAGGTTCTTCCTAACAATGGTCAGAACATATGGTTTACATCACTAGAGTGACTTTCTAGGGAAGGGAGGAAGACTTTCAGCCAGGTGGAAGACTGCATTACAGGGTTAAGATAGGCAGTGGGCAGGTGCCCTCCCCTCAACCTGTGAGTTTGCACTGCTCTGGGAACATCTCAACTTGTCTTTACAGTAGCAAGGTTGAGAAGATTTCTCTCCAACTACTAGTTTCCTTGTTTTACTTACAGCATGGGAACAGATTATAGTTCATTTGACCCAGTGTATTTCATTCATACTTGGGGGTTTAGCTACTCTGCATAGAACTGGGTTATTGCATAGCAAGAATGGGGTCTGTGTAGAGTCACCAACCATCCTGATTTGCCCAGGGCTCAGACATCCCCAACATACAACTTACATTGTCAGAGTCAGGAAGTCCCAGGAAGACGGAACCGTGGCTGCCAGGAATGTCTCCATGGGCCCGAGGAAGCCAAGGATATCTTTGACTATAACCCTACCCCACATTAGAAACTTACTTAAAACATGATAAGACTTTTTGGGGGTGTGAGTAGGAATTAGCTATGCTGTTCTGTTCTTGAGTGTAAACTTTATACATGACAACTTTGTGTCACCATATCAAAGTATAGACTTACAGAAGTAAAGAACCAACAGTCAAAAGTCAGTTCAATTCTGCAAATTGCTGTCTATGTGTTGAGATCTCATTGAAAGGAACAGAGTAAGGTTTTATTGTTGGCTCTGTGTGTAGGTATGTAGACATGGCCTTACTGTGAATCCCAGTTTAGTCTTGAACTTGGAATTCTCTTGCTTCCTCCCAGGTGCAATCATACTAGGCAGGGATGGATGGGTTTTTTGTTTCTTTCTGGTTTTTGACACTGCTGCATTTTTTTTCCATTTTGAAATAGACTTTGGTCCTAAATTTACATTTTAAAGTACTCTCTCCTTACCACATTTCCTGGAGTATTCCTAACACAGAGTGAAATGTTTATTTACCTTTTTCTTTACTTCCCCCCTTGTGTGTGTGTGGGAGAATGAGGGAATTCCAGAAACGCTGTCTTTTCTTAGGCATTTTTTTGACAGGATCTTATTATGTCTTCTAGCTGGCCTGAAACTCTATCTGCCTGTCTCTGCTTTCCATATACTGTGATTACAGGCCCGAGCCACCACACCTAGTTTAAGTGCTTTGTGGAATTGCCTTCATGGTTGCTGGGCAGATTTAGAGTTCTTATGTTACTTGTTGTACTTCAGAGTCAATATGTGGCTCACATCTGAACTCCCAGCACTTGGATATCATACACAGAGGGCTGCAGGTTCAAGGTCAGTCTGTGCTACATAGTGAGATCCTATCTCAAAGAACCAAATATAAACAAAAACAAGTGGTTTAAAAAAATACCCACAAAGATAATGCCTAGTTTATTTGACTCTAAGATGGCACGTACATTTTACAGGAAACACACATTACTTGTGGCTGGAAGTTTGTCTGCTGTGGATGAGTTTGAAGAAGAAGACAAAAATCTGATGATTCTCTGTGTTTTCCCTGCAGTCAGGCTTATATTCCTTTTGCTGTTTGAAAGGAGAAAGTCCCTGTTTGTTCCCCCATTATGTCTCATCCGAGTGCTCTCAGCTTCCTCTATTACGGCTATCCGAATTCTCTGGTATATTCGTTATTTTTCCTGTTGCTATGATAAAAATCTTCTGACCAAAGGAACCTAAGGCAGGCTGGTGCATGAGTGCACTGTCACATTGCACCTGAAGTGAGAAAGCAGAGGCATGTACATTGGTGCCTTGCTCATTTTCTCCGTTTTGTTATGCCTAAGAACCCAGTCCTTCGAGTGGTGCTACTGGTAGTTAAGGCGGGTTTTGCCACCTCATGTAGCCACTTCTAGAAACTCCCTCACAGGCATGCCCAGAGGGTTGTCTCCTACGTGACAGTTGATGTTAGCTATCGCACCAATTTTCTCACTTGGCATTATGAGGGATTCATCTGAAGTGGTTCAGCCCATGGAAAGCATTCTTACAATTGCTAGAGCAACGGAATCCTGCTGTGTGGTAAGGGATCTCTAAGTGGAGGTGATGGGCAAAGGTTTCTGGAGTTAACATACTACTAGACAGATCAAACACAAGTAACCCTGAATGCTCCCTTATTCATACAAACCTATAGAGATTTCTTCATTTGGACTCTTGGGTAACTGATCTAGGATAACTTTACACCCGTCGTAAGGATGGAACTCAGGGCCTTGTTCATGCTAAGTTCACTTTCAACCAATGCCTTCCTCTTGTAGGGCTTTTGAAGACCGAAAAGTAGTGATTCTTTATAGTAGAAGAAGCAAAAATAAATCGGCTTTTTCCAACTGCACTTGGGAACATTCTTCTAGGATCAGTTCCTTATTTCACTTTAAACATTTTGAATTTCATTTCACTTCCGTAGGATTAGGTCGAAAAGCTGAAGACCTTTCTGCTGAGCAACACCGACTTGCTGTGAAGTAAGTTAGCAGTTAGCAGTATATTGTCAAGTCCTTTGAATGTGTCTAGAGCAGTGCTTCTCACCCTTCCTAATGCTTTGACCCTTTAACACAGTTCCTCATGTTGTGGTGACCCCCAACCATAAAATTATTTCGGTGCTACTTCGTAACTGTAATTTTGCTACTGTTCTGAATCATACTGTAAATATTTAATATGCAGGATATCTGATATGTGACTCCACAGGTTGAGAACAACTGGTCTAGAGCTTCTTCATTTTAATAAATACTCATATTAATTTCATTATATGAATGTAATATTACTATTGTGTCTGTTGTTGATAGACCCTTGTCTGTCTACTAATCTTTGCCTTGGACAATGCCAGCTAATGGCTAACCTTGCATATAGATCATTTCTGTGTGTGTTTGGGTCTGCTGTAGGGCAAAGGTCAAGAGCAGATGGATCTCATCTGTGATTTTGTCTATCCTGTGAGAGTTTCTTTTCCCAGGATTATTACTTTATTGGATTTGTGTCTGGGACCTCAGAGAAGCAGCAATAACCAATGCATGTAGTATATGAATAGGTCCCAGCATAGGAAAAAATAGGAAGTAGGACACAAGGGAATCCAGGTTGGGGAGTCAGGGAGATTCTGCAGGTGGTCTTTGGCTAGTGTGGATGGGCAGCAGAAAGGGAATGGTGCTAGAGAGAAAGCGGGGAGGGGGTGCTGCCCAAAGAATCAGGAGAAAACATTGGCTGGGGATGAAAATGTCATTGGGGTGGCTCACAAAGAACAGCCATGGCTGGGGGATAGGCTCCTATTAGAGGGTACCAGAAGCAGCTGGCATCCCTAAGGAGTCCCAGGAAGTAGCTTCACTAAAGACCTGGGACTTAGAAGCACTGGAGGATTCAAATAAATCTGGTCTCTTGCTCAGCACTATGTAGCTATAGTCAGCTTAAGGCACAGTCTGAGGAACCAGTGAGCAACGGTGTTTCAAGAACTCCTTCCCTGCAATAATACTCTGCTAGAACAGGCCTCCTGTGTGCCCTTGCAGCAGGAGGCAGAGCCCTGCGCTCCAGGTTTTCCCTGGTCTCCTTTTCAGGACCTAGACACCAAAACAGACAACAGATTGTCACGGTTGGTTTTGTGTGGCTTCCAAGTGGAAACCGGTCAGGTCCGCCCACCATTCACTTTGTATTTATGTTGGCATTCAGGAGAGAATTTCCCCTCTCTGGAGCATCTCAGCAGCTGACATAAGGCCAGATTCTCACCGTGCCTTTGTTTATACCTTCATTTTGTGATGCAAGCAGATAGAGGTGATGAGAAAGAGCAGCTCCCAGCTTTAGGATAACCTTTGCTTGGGATCCCTTCCTCAGTGTTCATGGTCCTTACCAGCAGAGGGGTGAGTGATGTGGAACTGTGACCATCTCAAGCACCTATTTCATCCACGGTTCCTGTCTTAAAGATGTCTCTCTTAGCTGGATTTTATAGGAAACAGAAAAGTGAAAGGCCTTGTCATGGATAATAACATTTCAGGTATAATGGCATATTCTGATGGAGAATTGAACATGGATGAGTACTCAAGTTTTAAATTTCATTTATGTTCACAGAGTGAAGCCCTCACTTTTGGAATACTTAAGCTACCATCTCAACTTTATGAGTGTCATAGCTGGCCCTTGTAACAACTTCAAGGACTATGCAGCCTTCATTGAAGGGAGACATATACATATGAAGTTGCTGGAAGTGAACTGGAAGCAAAAAGGCTTCCACAGTTTGCCAGAACCTTCTCCCTCTGTAAGTTTTTAGTACTTGGCATGTTTTTTGTTTGTTTGTTTTGTTTTTGTTTTTGTTTTTTGAGTTTCAGAGAATGGATTTCATTCTCAGGGCTGATCCTAGCTAATAGTCAATTCTAATTATAGAGTCTTATAGCTGGGAGTGTAACTTGTTGATAGAGCACTTGCTCAGTATGCATGAGATCCAGGTGTGATTCCGAGAATGGAAAAATAAAACAGTGACAGCCAAATGCCAAAAGCTTAACAGAGAGCATGAGCAGTATCCACCCCTATTTGCTTAAAATCAAATACAGGCAATTATCAGGCTGTTCTCTGTGTAAGATCAACTTAGTTTGGACCCAGGCACTTGTTCACAGTTCTTTGTCATGTTCATTCACTTAAGCCCCAGTCACTTCTGGGAAGGGTGCCAATGCTGTGCCACATTAGAAAGGCCACCCATTGGAATCTATAGACATGTAGGATGACATTTCCTGGAAAGCCAGAGGAACTGGGCAAAATTATTGAATCCTGATAAAAATTCACCACATCCTAATCCTAGATGTTCTTGTTTTGGATCTGTTGCTGTGATAAAGCCATGATCGAAATCAGCTAGGGGAGGAAAGGGCTTATTTAGCTTACAGGTTACTGTCCATCATCAAGAGAGAAGCCATGGCAAAAGTCTGGAGACTGGTTGGTTGAAGCAGAGACGACAGAACTTCTGGCTGGCTTGCTTGTAGGCTCTTGTTTGGATACCTTTCTTCTACAGCCCAGGCCCAGCTGCCTAATGGGCCCTCTTACATCAATTAGCAACTAGGAAAATATCCCATAGACATGCCACAGGCCAATCTGGTGAAAGAATTTCCTCAACTGAGCTTCCCTCATGCCTGGTTACAGTAGATTTGTGACAAAGTAACAGCGGAAGCTAACGATGACACTAGATAAGATATTTGAATCTTTTTTGGGGGAGCCAGTGCTCTCCATTATCTGTTCATGAATTGGCTCAGGTGTTCAGTTACCTACACAGAGCCATTACACCGGAAGTCTCCACATCCTGGCTGGAGACTCAAACATGTTTCCCAGCTTTGCAGGCTATACTAGTGGAAAGCAAATGGTTATTGCTTTTCTGGTGGAAAATTGTTACGCTATAATGGTATCCATTTCTCTTATGTTTTGGGCAACAACCCTACTTTACTTATGTTGGTAGGAGATACTGAAAGACACATTTAGATATGCCCCATGTTTACAGTGAATACCACCAATCCTCAAGGGTTACATGTGTGTTCAGCATCTAGATACACCTGATAACCTAATCCTCTCAGATTTGTGTCTTGAGGAAGAAAACCCATATCTATTTCCCTTCTTTCAAAGGAAGTTATTGGATAACCATGTCCTTTTGGTGCTATTGCCAAAACTGTGTTCCTCATACCTGAGTTTTTCCCCCATTTCTAGGGAGCTGTGATACAGAAGTTGTGCATGACCTTGATGTCTCTCCTGCTGTTTTTGACACTCTCCAAGTCCTTTCCTGTCACCTTCCTTATTGATGACTGGTTTGTACATAAGGCCAACTTTCTGAGTCGACTCTGGTACTTATATGTCGTCATGCAAGCCGCAAAGCCCAAGTATTACTTTGCATGGACATTAGGTAAGTTTGATGGAGTGACCCAAAGTGAATGAGGAATGAAGTGGTCTTCCTTGGATGGCTTAGTCAGAATATCATTTGTATCATCAAATCATAATAAAGTCCAGTCTTTCCTGTGGCAGTGAAGCCAGTGCCAAGTTTAACCTTCAACATTGCACTTCTCTCTTCCACCCTTTGTAAACTCAGTTATCGGTGAGAAGGAGACATATAGCTGCTGTTTAAACCCAGTGTTCATAACTGCTTCCAACCATTGAACTTGGCCATTCAGTGCAGTGCAAAGTTAAGAGAAAATTCCAGAACAGCCTGGCTTGCTTTTCTCTGATTTTATATATATATATATATATATTAGATGGAGTTGTTTAAAGCTTTATTAAAAGAAGACAATATGCACTTACCAAGGCTGGTGAGGGATTTTGATTTAAGATGGGAAGGTTAGAGAGAGCAGGGGCTTGCCTTCATAAGCCAAACTGGTCATTCAATGGTTCCCAGTGTTTTGTCCACAGACAACAAGTTAAGAAATAGCCCATGACTCATGTCCTCTTCTTAGTTTGTATTTCAGGTTTTAAGGTCTAAATTAGACTTTGCAGATGCAGAATTGCTTTTTTCATTCAAATATGTCTAATATGAAATAGACTGTTTTGGCCATTTAGGAATGAGATTCAGCATTGGCAAGTTTTCCCCATGACAGTTACGATTGAGAGCCAGAAACTTTCACTGCACCAAACATAAACTTTGTTGCCCATTAAGCAGTTTCTACTGGGGCCAGGTTATTTTTAACTGCAAAAATATCTATGTGTAAGTTCAGTCCAAAAGCAGTATTTCCCTAGCGTTTGACCAGAGATATCAGACTTAGAACTCTTTTTGTTTGTTTGTTTTGTTTTGCTTTAGACAGGATCTTACTATGTAGTCCTGGCTGGCCTGAAACTCTCTCTGTAGACCAGAGATCTACCTGCCTCTGCCTCTGATGGCACTAAAGGTGTGAACTACTACATCCAGCATCAGAGCTGTTTAGAATTCACAGCATGCTGTGCTTTGTTTCCATTTCCATTCAGTTTAATTTAGGGCTGTTTGTTGAGCACCAGGCTTTGTGCTAGGAAATATCTTCTGCATCTCAAGACTATGGCATTTTGTGGGAACATAGACATCAAGAGTCGCCTCAGTGGCATAATATGGAGGATAAATATGCTTCAAAAGCTTGTTCCCTCCTTCCTGATTGTGCTGTTGCTTTGCTAGTTAAAAATGCTGTCTTCTTTATTTCTTTAGTAGCTAAGCATCTCTATCTCGGGTAGCTGGGAGTCTATTTGAATCCCTGTATATATATATGTGTGTGTGTCTTCCCATGCAAAATAGTGCTTTTACTTTGCTGTAACCTAAGTATGAATGTGTGTAGGTGTGTGTGCATGTATGGAGGGGGTGGGTTGGGGGTGAGAATGTCTTCCTCCCTTTTACTGCATTCTCCATTTTCACTTACTTTGCTCTCTGTGTTCTCTCCCTACCCTTTCTGCTCCCACATTTTGTATCTCCGGGCTCTAGGTCTGGCTTTGGACTAAATCAGCTCCAGATTTAAGGAGGAAATAAGGCCATTCCGTGGCCTTATGGGGAGAGTCTGGCACAAGGTGGGTGTGGGCTGTGCTGACAGCGTCTGGGTGGGAGGGGTGACAGGGAACAGGATGTCATCCTGCCCTTTAGGAGAACTCCCCAGACTTGTGGAATGCAAATATGTTTCCTCTGGACAGCTTTCCCTGTGCAATGAGCTCTGTGTCTCCCCAGTTCCCTCTGTCCCATCTTCATGTTTTCCTGGTTGTTTAGTGGAAACACTTCATTAATTTGCATAGCTTTGATTTGAAGTTTCTTTCCAGTTTAGATTACATGGGCTAGTCGGAAATTAACCTTTCTATTATTTATGAATAAAGAAGCAACAAATAGTCCATCAGGGAATATTTAAATTGCTTAACCGAATAATTGTTTTATCCAGCTCTTTAAAATTCCATTTACATATAATTGATATACTAATTATAAATTATTATAAATTTAATCCTTAAAGCTGGCCTTTCATGGATGTCAGCTGCACTCTGTTAGGCTTGCTCTAGTTACTGTTTATATAGAAACAATAAAATTATTTTCTTTGGACTTAACATCCAATTCTGACCCCCTCCCCAACTAATGGTTACCAGAGGCTCAACTGTCTAGGCTGCATCCTAAGGACCACAAACTCCAACAAAGGGGTATCCAAAGCAGTTTGTCTGCCATAGTAAGTTACACCATGCACAAAGAAAGGAAAGCCTGTTTGGAGAGAGGACCTCACTCTGGCTGCTCTAGGTCATGATGAAATCTTAGATAAAGTTCTGCAGAAAGCACTGTACAGAACAGGGAATCCTGACTCTCCAAATAGGGTGATTTTGGGAGCCTGCTATCTCACAAAGGAGTTCTCAGCCCTTTGGGATGTGGAATCAGTTCTGACCTTCAGATTCTGGCACTGCCTGAACTGGAATGGTCTGCACATTGAATGAACATTTCCAGTCTCAAACTCCTTTGCTTTCCCATTAGTAGAGGCCATTAGAGTGAAAATGGCCACCACCATCATCTCCTGAGTGCTTCCTTGGATGGTCCCTGTGCTGTGAACGTTGTACACATTTCAACAGCTCTTTTACATAGGTGCCATTGTTGTATGCATTTTGTGTTTAGTGGATGGGTTTCTAGACGTTAGGCACCTCACCTCCTCTTGCTTTTGCTGAGCCTGCCCTTACTGACTCTCCTAACGTTGCTATGAGGGTAAATAAGAAATACCTGTAAGATTCTGGGTATGGAGACCTAGAAAGGTGTGTGATGTTGGTGGCCAGCTTGCTGGGTTTGAGTAGCATGCAGGCTGTTAGAACAACACACTTCCAGGTGTGTCTGTAGGGGCATTTGCAGAGATAGCAAGCTGAGAAAGAATTCCATTCCTGCATGTTGGCAGCACCACACGTAGGCTGAGGGCTCAGGTGGGACCAAATGGAGGAGAAGGAGATAGGGAGAAGGAGACAGGGACAGGAATTCCTGCTCTTTCTGCTCCATAAGTGCCATGATGTAATGTGCTCTGCCACACCCCATCTTCCCTGCAGTGATGGATTGCAACATCTGGGGCTGAGCTGAAGTATATCTGTCCCTGCCTTAAGTTGTTTTTTTTCCTGTGTGTTGTGAAAAATCCGACCATCATAGATGATGATCAGGAAAACACACATTCATGCACACAATCATTGCTTGGTTTTTGTCAACTCTGACCAGCAGTGGTGGGCACAAAATTGAAGGAGAAGATGGGAAGTTAAGGACTGTTGTGCTGGCCTTGTCATGGGTTGTCTGGCTGTGATTTTAACTGTCACCTAGATGACATCTGTCATTCATAGATTTGCTCTCACATATGAAACTATGAGGTTCCTTTTCAGGCATCTGATTTCTCTGTTTTCTTTTTCTTCTGTGCCCAGTTTCCCTGTAGAGGAGAGAGGATGGCATGGGACTCCATCCTTTTAAATCGTTTCTTCCATAAGAAACCAGATAGTTTTCAACTGAAGCCAAGACTAAGATAAGCATCATTAAATCATCAACTACGCCAAAAATAGAGGAGATAAACATAGAGCTGTGTTCTCTCTCTCTCTCTCTCTCTCTCTCTCTCTCTCTCTCTCTCTCTCTCTCTCTCTCTCTCTCTTTCTCCTCTCTCTTCCTCATTCCCTTCCTCCCTCCCCTCTCTTTTTGTTCTGGGGATGAAACCCAAGGAAAGTGCTAGGCAAATACTAGACCTCTGAGTTCAGAGCCACCCCCCCCCCACCCGGAGAAGGCCATTTCCCTTTAGAGTGGCTATTCTGAAGGCAGGCTCCTTTCCAGGGCATTTGAAAAGCTGTCTGCACTTGGACTTGGAGGATCCTCTAAGACCTCCTCCAGTCTAGAACTGTAAAGCACTTTGATTTAATTAGAGTGAGTCACTAATGACTATTTTCTTGAAGAACATCTTCTAACAGAATTTGGAATATGATAAAGGAAAAAATAGTCTCTTGGTCTCCATCATAACAGTGAGGGCTTGTCAGGACTCTAGTTGGTTACAAAACACCTCATTAAGGCATCGGTTTGAGGTAGATTATTCCTTAGGGGGCCATTTTCTTAAAGTTTAGTTAAGTATATAAAATGGAAACAGGGGCTTTCAGAATGGCTTTGTGAGTAAGATAGCTTGCTGCTTTCTCTCTCTCTCTCTCTCTCCCTTTCTTTCTTCCTTTTTCCTTCCTTCCTTCCTTCCTTCCTTCCTTCCTTCCTTTCTTTCTTTCTTTTTGAGACAGAATTTTCCTGTGTAGTTCAAGCTGATATTCCTCCGTAGCTCAGGCTAGCCTTGGACTTGCTAAGTAGCCCAGATCTTTCACTCTTGATCCTCCTGCCTCTGCCTCCCAAGCTCTGCTACCTCACACTGTGTTATGGTGTTCACCACTGTGACCTTGTGTGGCTTCCACTGAAGCTGGTTCCCAGTTCCAAGCTAAGCTTCTCTACCTTGTTGTGGATTTAAACTTTCCTTATTGCGTCTTGCATCTTCTTTTTTTTTTCTTTCTTTTTTTTTTATTAATATTTTTTTATTTTCCATTTTAAATTTAGATAAGAAACAAGGTTGCTTCACAAGTCAGTACAAGGTCCCTCTCCCTTTCCCTCCCCTCCACCCGTGCCCTCCCCATCCCCCCCCCCCCCCCGTTATCCCCTCATTCCCCCAGGGAGGGTGAGGCCCTCCATGGGGGTGTCCATAGTCTGTCATTTCATATAGGGCAGGGCCTAGACCCTTCCCCAAGAGTTCAGGGTGAGAGTGCACCTCACATTGTTCTATGGGAGTCCAGAGACCGTGTGTATACTTGGGATAGGTACTGATCTGCAGAAACAGCTGACCAGACAAAGGTTAACTCTTGAATCCCAGGCATCAGCCTGGGAATCCAGCATGGGACTGATCAAGACCCCCCGAATCTGGGTGTCAGTGAGGAGGCCTAGGTAATCTATTGAGCATCTTGCATCTTCTGTTAGCTGATCAGCCCTGTGTCTGCAGCCTGTCAAGATAAGCGCCTGTGTTTTTCCAGAACTGCGTCTCTCCTGGCATAGCACAACCACACTTTAATACCTGAGATGGTTTATGTTGACAGTCGGTTTGATGGGGTTTCAAATCACCTGTGGCACATGCTTCTGGGCATGCCGGAAGGTATTTCCAGAGAAGCCTAACTGATGGAGGAAGACCCGCCCACTGTGAGAGTGGCACCAAGGTCTGGGCTCCTGGACTGAAGAAAAATGAGAAAGTGAGCAGAGAGCCAGCATTCCATCTGGCTCTCTACTTCCTCGCTGAAGCTGCAGCTTGATGTGACCAGCTGCCTCATGTCCCTACCACCATGCCTTCCCCCCCACTGTGAGACAAAATAAGCCTTCCATAAATAGCCTTGGTCACAGCAGGGGGGAAAGTAGCAAATCCCTGGTATTATGTCTTTAGTGATAACTCGTGGTCCGTACCACGCCCCCTATTGGCCTTCATTTCTAAGCAGTGGTGGATTTTACCCCTTTCTCTTCCACTAAACCCTGCCAGTCACTGAATCCAGCTGCTAACATCTTCACCTCATTTCTTCTCCCCTCCTTGATGCTCCTCTGTCCATTGTTCAGACATCCAGTGCTATGTCTTTTAGCAAGCACTCAAATGAATGAATAGAAACCAAGGTCACTAACAGCCCGATTCATAATGATGCCAAATCCTTTGTGTGTTTTTTGGCTCATCTTCCAAGAAACTACCGAATACGTGTCCCGTGTTAGAGCTAGACAAATGTTTGCACTCCTTTGCCTGGTTCCTCATGTTTTGTCTTAAAACCACAGCGGATGCGGTGCACAATGCAGCTGGCTTTGGGTTCAACGGTGTGGATGCGGACGGGCATTTCTCTTGGGATCTGCTATCTAACCTGAACATCTGGAAGATTGAGGTGAGAACACTGTGCTTCTGGAACAAATGGCCACAGTGAATAAAGCAAGTGGTTGTTGTGAATGTGGGATTCCCAAACCCTTCGTCAGGGTGTCTGGGGAAAGCTGTTTGGGGAGATGCCCGGCCCCACATTCACCTCACCATCTGTACTTCAGATTGTTTCCGCTCCTTCTCCTCCTCCTCCTCGTCATCTACTTTCTTGACACTTTTAATGATTCAAGGAAAAGTGACACCAAACATTTGAAAAAGAGCCAGAAAAATCTTTCTGCTGTTTAATTCTACCAACCAGAGAGTGAAAATGTCAACTTCTTTTGTTTGCATTTGACTTGGGTTTCAGTCCAGAGTGTAGACCAGAGGCCGGTCCTTTAGATTAACACATGCTGGGCTGTGGGGTTTGGGAGGGATATTTAAATTCATTTGATGTTTTGAGAAAAACTCACAATGCACACCCTTTAGGCCACTGGGTTAGTGTGTCTCTTCATCGGTCTTCATTCTTGGACCACGGTTCTCTTCGCGTCTTCGGAAACAGAAATGGTTCCCTTCAGAAACAGTCATCTCCGTTTGCTTTGCCTTGTCTGCACTAGCATAGACATGCCGAGCGCGCCATGGAACCTTTGGTGTTGCCGCAGTGGAGGAAGGGCCACGTCTCACTGTGCTGCAGGAGCTTTGGTCCCCTGGACCACCCACTCAGGGTGGCTGTTAATTTTTTTTAATTTCCATCTCCCCTGGGGCAGACAGGGAGAGCAGGAGGCATGGGAGACCGACCATCTTCCACCCACATTTGGTGGAAAGCAGGCCAAAAGGAGCCATGAGACAACTTCCACCTTCTTCTGCATTTGGAAGGTGGCCTGCATTTCACCTAACAAGGTTTATAAGGGGGGTCAGATTTCCTCCTTCCCATCCTCCTCTTCCACCTCTTCCTTTTCCTTCTCCTCAGTTTCTTCCTCTTCCCTTTCTCTTTTCCCTATTATCTTCTTCCTCATCCTCTTCTTCATCTCTCCCTCCACCTCCCTCCCCTCTTCTTCTACTGTCACATAGCACTTTGTACCTGTTACCTAACCAAATTACATCGTATATTCAATTTCAATTCATGGTGCTATTTGATGCCTCAGGCTTATCAGACTGCACAGATAGTGAGTCTCAATGTGGGGGTGGGGGTGATATTTGGATTCTAGAGAATCTGAGGGATCTTTGGGTCAGAAAACCATGGCAAATATAGAAGAAAAAAAAAGGTCCAAATTTAGAACTGGTTTGGAGTGAGCAATTTGCCCCATTACAATAAACCACTTCTTCAATAGAAAGTTTCCAGATGCCATAACCACATTTCCCATTTTTGGAAAAGCATATGAAGACTGCACACCTCTTTCCTATGCGGATGTCAGGCAAAGTCTGAGGGTTAGGGACTTCATTCAGAAAACAACCTACAGACTTGCCTACAGCCAATCTATTGGTGGCATTTTCTCAATTGAGGATCCTCTTCCCAAATAAGTCTAGCTTGTTTCAAGCTGATAAAAAACCAAGAAGCACACTACCTTTATATCTGTTATACCATTTCTCTATTATCATCTGATGTCTCTTCAACCTAGGTTCTTCATCATCTGTCTGTCATCTGTCTTACCTAGTTATCATCTGTCAGGCCATCTTGCATCTATATGTCATCTGTCTTCTTGGCCTACTCTCTCCTTTCAAGCGTATTACACTAGGCAGGTGTGTGGCCTACACAGTGTTTCTTAAGACTGAAGATTTTCCATAGGGAAAAGCCATACTTCTTGTTAGTGTCAGTGAGAAAGCACAGTTCATTGCATATTTAGGGATGTCTTTTTTGGCAGTTGACTAACTTACACTATTACCAGATGGGTGATATGTCTTTATTTTCTTTTTTTGTATTATGATCCCTTCATGCATGAAGTCTCTTACTCTTCCAGGCAAAATTGGATGCAGTTGGGACTGTGAAGCTATTTATAGAAATGACTGTAAAAGGCTGACCTAGTTTGCACGTGGTCACATAGCACAAAGATAATGGTTTCATTTAGCTTGTCCTGAAAGCTCTACAATCAAATAATTAGACTTTCCCTGTGTAAATACCCTTCTAGAGTAGTTCTAAGTGATCTGACTTTGTTTTTTAAAAATCAGAGTGGGCGGGAATTAACAGAACTTCCCCCTCAGTTTTTCTCTAATGTAAAAATAAGTTTTGAGCAGACTTTATTCTCTAAGCCAAGGTTTAGCTGCAAAGTAAATCTTATAAATGCCAGAAAATGTTACTGCCTGTGGCAGAACAGCTGATTGACTGAACTGTGAGTAATCCCGCTTGAAACCCTCATCAACTGTGTGAGCAAGGGAGTTCTGGGCAGGACTTCCAACTGCTTGGCTATTTTTAAAGTTAATGATAGGTGTTATTTTCTTGTTTCTAGACTGCTACGAGTTTCAAAATGTACTTAGAAAACTGGAATATTCAGACATCTGCTTGGCTGAAATGGTAAGGGACACAAGAACTTCCTTATTGCTCATGGCACGGATGTGCTTAGGGACTTCCTATGTGAGCAACAGCTGCCTGCCAGTCATGCCATCCGGCAGACACTTTCGACATCATTGTCCACATCTTGTCAATAAAAAAGTAGGAATGATGACTTGAGAAGATCCCAGTGTGTGCCTGTCTCATCCCATAATGCTCTCTACTTGGTTCCACACACTAGTTTATTCCTTGCAGCAATCCTGTAAGATGCCATTATTTGTATTACTCTGTTTTATAGCTGAGGAAAGTGAACAGAGGGATTACATGACATGCCCAAAGTCACAGATCCATGTGTGACAGATAGAGGGCCAAAGGGCTATTCCCAGAACTAGGCTTTTGGCTTCTCTGCTGTTTGTCTTGATACCCAGGAGAGTCTAGTTTTCAGATCTTAGGAAGTCATTGTCAACATCAAATTCTTGATGAGGGTTCTGCTGCCCCTAGCAGTGAGAGCTTTATGGTACCCTACATGCCTGCATTTGTATTGACATTTCTCTGACCTGTTTCTATATGTGTTCTAAATTTAGAAGCATTACTTGTTAGGGAACTATGAATATACTATCTTTGCAATGCCACATTCTACCCCATGAATGCACCTGAACTTTCAGGGAGCATATGAGGAGATTAGGTTTTGCTTTTGATGGAACTATGTCTTTCACAAATCTGAACACTGAAGCGAAGCTCAGGAGGTGGCTGGGTGATTAAGTGTGGACTGTTCTTGCAGAGGAGCCAAGTTCAGTTCCTATCACCTATGTGCATTGTTTCAACCACCTGTAACTCCTGCTCTGAGGGATGCAGTGCCCTCTTCTGGCCTCCAAGATGCATGCATTCGTGTGTACAAACCTCAATGCAGATATATACAAAATAATAAATCTTTAAAACTATTGAAGCAAAGGAGACACAATCTGGTAATTCTTCAAATAAAGCTAATGCTTTACTTGAAAACTGAAAACTGCCCATTTCTGCAGTCTTTAAATTCTGTATGAACATGATAGTTTTTAATTAATGTGACAAGCAATTTTAACAGCAGCCTTTATTTCCCAGCATGTCTAGAGTCATACAGTTTCCATTAAGAATGCACAGCCCAAGATGATTGAGAATGAAATATTTCACTCATGCAAAAAGATACAGAGAACTTAGAAAAAAATTAAAATGCACATGCCTAGTCCTCATGTCAAAAAGAAATCCTACTGAGAATGGAGTTTCAAGCCTGTGTTTTTCTTTCCAGTTGTATTTGTTTTCCTCTAATGAAAGGGAGATGAAACCCTCAATCCATGTGTAAATCAGTAACTTTTGCTGGGCAGTGGTGGCACACATCTTTAATCCCAACACTTGGGAAGCAGAGGCACGTGGATATCTGAATTTGAGGTTACCCTGATCTACAGTGAGTTCTAGTACAGTCAGGGCTACACGGAGAAACCCTGTCTCAAAATACAACAACAAAAATCAGTTACTTTTGAACCATCAGTGGCGGATTCTTGATAACTGCTTGAATTTACTGTTGCATTTACCGTTGGGACCCTGTCACTTACTAAATGGTCACCTTGACTGTAATTGGCAATGCATAGCCTGAGTTCTGGGGAGAAAGCCTCTCTCACTTCCTATCACTTATTTTAGTTTTGGCTCAAGAAGAATCAAAGATCTTCAGGGAACCAGCTGACTTTTCTAGCTTCTCACAGAGTAGTTCCCACATTTATCATCTTAAATCTGAAAATGTGGACCCTCAAATGTCCCCATATCTGAAGCCTTTTGAACACTAACATGTTATCCTATGAGGAAAATTCTCCATCTGACCTCACATGAAGTGTTGGGTGACACTTCATTCTGGCTGTGTGTATGAGATGTATGCAAAACGCCAATGAACTTGTGTTTTAGACGTGGCTCTCAACCCCAAGATAACTCATGTATATGTAAACACTCTGAACTCTGAAAAAAATTCAAAATCGAAAAGGCTTCTTGTCTTAGGCATTTGGGGTAAGAGCTACTCAACCTCTATCTTAATTTAAAATCTGATGGGCTCTGAGCAGGTCCTCTAATTACCACACCAATTTCTCACTAGAGTTCCTACCAGAAAGATTAAAGGGGTTGTCATGTTGATGGCATAGGGGTCTGGTTAGAAAGATAAATTAATGTTGGCTAAATGAAGATAATTTCTGTGGATGCTCATCTGAATTCCAGGCATCTTAATGCCATTGACACTCATGTAGGTACCTCTAGTAGATTTGCCCTTTGGGGAGCCTGAGACTATTGAGTCCTTTGTCATAGTAGATCATGTAATGGGGTCCAGACCATCTAATCTGATGAGGTTAAAATTTATAATAGAGCCAAGAGCTGCGTTTTTGATAGCTCTCCAGGATGCCAGAGAAGCACAGGCTGCCTGCATTTCATTGCAAGCTCCTGCTGAGTCAGGCAGGCATCTCTCAGAATGGATCTGAGGACTTCCATGTGGTCTGCCCCAAAGAGATGCAGGTGGAGGCATGCAGTGTTTTCACCGGGGGTTGGCTGATCCTTCCTCTCTTTACAGTGTGTGCTATGAACGGGTTCCCTGGTACCCTACTGTGCTCACCTTCCTCCTGTCTGCTCTGTGGCATGGCATTTACCCTGGATATTATTTTACGTTCTTAACTGGAGTCCCCGTCACATTGGCAGCTAGAGCGGTAAGCTTCCTTCAGCTCTTGGCTCTTTTTCTCTAGAAATCTGTGGTGTGTGTGTGTGCGTGTGCGTGTGCATGTGTGTGTGTATTCTGCCTTAAGCGGTGGTGAGTTGAAGGTTTGTGTTTGTTAGGAGTGACTGTTTGATACGGAATGATAAGTTCTCCCTGGAATATTTACTTTGATTTGTTTTCTTGGAATGATATTTGGAAAAATCAAATAATGTGCAAAACATTTTCATATTGCAGAAATACTTCAATGTATAGGGACTTGCCATTGTAAAAGTGGTTAACTGATTCATTTGTAGAGAGTAAAGCAACAAGAATTTTAGAAGCAGCAAATTACACCCTTGAGAAAACAGACACTTTTTTTTTTTTTTTTTTTTTTTTTTTGGTTTTACAAGACAGGGTTTCTCTGTTTTGGAGGCTGTCGGTCCAGCCTGGCCTCGAACTCACACTCACAGAGATCTGCCTGCCTCTGCCTCCCGAGTGCTGGGATTAAAGGCGTGCGCCACCAACGCCCTGCCAGACACATTTTTAATCATTAAAAACTGAATGTACATGTGCAGATACATGTGCAGATAATCATGTTTATTAATCAATGCAGGCTCTAGCATATTTCAGTTTGCTTATGTCCTGCTTAATTTCTCGTGTCATTATACTAAGCCTAGAAGTAATTCACTATGTCTCTGAGAAGTCAGTGAGGTGGCAGCCTTAGGAACTACATATGTGGAGATGGATCTAACCTCATATGTCTGATACAGTCAAAGAATAAAATTACTGTGCTACGTATAGAGTCTTATATTTGGTTTAATTTTGTTCTTTGATCATAATTATGATCTTTCTTATTTCAGGCTCCAATGATATTTGTTGTGCTATATATATATTGCTGTTGACTCATTTTGCCTGGTGTGTGTGTGTGTGTGTGTGTGTGTGTGTGTGTGTGTGTGTGTGTAGGTTGGTGAGTGCTTGTAGGTGCATTTGTATATGTGTGTGGAGAACAGAAGACAGCCTTGGGTGTTGTTTCTCAGTTGGCACCCTCCTTTTGTTTTTGTTTTTTGAGACAGCCTCTCTTGCTGGCCTGGAACTCAAAGCAGGCCAGGCTGGCTGCTAATGAGCCTCAAGGGTCTTCCTGGTTCCACTTCCCTGGTGCCAGGATAACAAACGGATGCCACAACACCTGGCTTTTTTGTCTTTTTTTTTTCAAATAAAGTGGCTTCTGGATATTCACTTCACAACCGGATTATCTTCCAAGCTCTTGCTGTTTACTTACTCTTCCCTGCACTCTTCCATGAATATTTCAGCATCCCTGTCACATGCCAGTCAGGGTTTATGTGTCCAGATATCACAGTGGATAAGACGAGCTCTCCCCCGAATGGTCCTGGTTTACTTAGATGAAGTACATCAAATTCTATATATGAACAAGGTAGAAAATTTCTATTCATGCTAATTTTTAAAATTTTAAATATTAAATACATATTTGAACGTGAGAAGAAGCAGGAGAGACCTTTTATTTGTCCTTCATATATGAACTCAGGCTCTGAAACAAAACTAAAGAACAGATGGCTACAACAAGCTACAAAATAAAGGTCACCGCTTTGCTTGTTGATGTATTCAGAGGATCAGTCCTTAAAATATCTTTACTCTGGTGGCCTCTTCTGGCACAGGCTTTGATTTGTGTAGATTTTGTCTATCGCAGACTTGCGAATAGTTTTCACAAGTAAGTTAGGTAGCAGATGGAAAAGGGGGACTGAGGGAGTAGAGCTTCCAGTTTTTTCTTTCTGGATGAATGAACTTAGCAGCCATGAAGACTTGGGCTTCTGGAGGTTAGCTACTTAGTTAGTAACATTTCACACCTGCTGCTGAGCATTTCTGAATGGATGGACCCCCAGACTCTGTTCTGAGGAGGTGAGAGTGGAGGAAAAGATCATTGTTGTTGTTGGGGGTCTTTGTTTTGGTTTACTGTTATTTTTGAGACAGAATCTCCTGTAGCTCAGGCTATCCTGGAACTCCCTATGTATCCAAAAAATGACTGAACTTTTGATCCTCCTGCCTCCACCTCTGGAGTGCCAGCCGGCCTATGCCATCATGCCCAGTTTTAAGAAGCATGCTGTGCAGAGTTTTGTGCATTATTGTAGCTACCAATTGAGCACATCCCCAGCCTGAGAAAGGTCTTTGCTTCACCAGGCAGTACTGGGAGCTTGCTTGAAGTCCCAACAGACACAGTCCGTGCAAAGTATTAGCACAGACATTGCACATAGTAAACATGAAGTAAACAGCAGTTGCTTTATTTGTGGCTATAGTTGATACTTGTACTCTTGTAGTCATGGAAACAGGGTGCAACACAGAGACTTATCAGCAAGAGTATGCACCATAAAACTGTAACAGCAAAAAGGGGGGGGCAGGCAGACAGGCTAACTCTCCCCTAATTACCTTAAATTACATTGAAGATTAATATTTATATATTTGTGGACATGGCAAAAAGTCTACAACAGATTACACCAAACCAAACAAACAAACAAAACATCAAACCAGCTAAAAAAATTCACCAGTGCCATTAAGAATATATAAGTAGAAAAGGCTTTGGAAGACTCTGTGCCAAGTTCTTTCTTCCTTTCTTTCTTTCTTTCTTTCTTTCTTTCTTTCTTCTTTTCTTTCCTTTTTTCTTTTTTTGGTTTTGGATTTTCGAAACAGGGTTTTTCTCTGTGTAGCCCTGGCTGTTCTGGAATTCACTCTGTAGACCAGGCTGGCCTTGAATTCACAGAGATCCTCCTGCTTCTGCCTCCTGAGTGCTGGAACTAAATGCCTATGCCACCACCCCCAGATCTGTGCCAAATTCTTTTTGGGGCAAGAATGGTAAAAAATTATTTATATATATACATATATTATATATAATATTACACATTTATTTACACATATATGCATACATACATGTAATGTGAAAAGCTATAGTGAGGTTTTGGGTGAAAATGGGACTCAGAGAGTGGGTTGGGTTCTTCAGCCTATGTTCCTGTGGTCCTGCTTCTTGTGTATGTGATTGAGTGGAAGTTATTTCCGTTTTCAGTCCTGCCTCCTACTTCTGCCTTCTTGGTTTGCAGGTGAGGAACAACTACAGACATCACTTCCTTTCTTCCAAAGCTCGGAAGGTTGCTTATGACGTAGTTACCTGGGCCGCCACTCAGTTGGCTGTCTCTTACGCGGCAGCGCCCTTTGTCTTGTTGGCAGTTGAACCAACCATCAGTTTATACAAGTAAGTTTCCAGTGTTCTCAGTTGATGCTTACGGTTGGCGGCTACTACATTTACCTTTTTTTTAAACTTCAGAGTTGATAAGATGAATCAACATTTTAAGGGATTATACCAAGAATTGCTAACTGTCACTTGACTATGAAAATGCCTGTAGAAATTTTAAGAGGAGACGGCTGTCCCAAAGATACCAACATGAGCTCTAGTACCTGTGATGATGGCTGACAAGAATCCCTTCGACCATCCCTAATGCTGTGAAAGGGCTCTTGTGGCTGTGCATTTAGAACGGATAGATACAGAGAACAAGCTCAGAGGATTCTCCCACCAAGGTAGTGCACATCTGTAATCCCAGCACTTGGGAAGTAGAGGCAGGAGGATCCTGAGTTTCAGCCTGGCCTGGGAGATCCTGTCTCACAAAAAGTGAAGAAAGGATTTGTAAATATCCTCCCCCAAACTCAAAGGGAGAATGTCCTGACTCTTTTTCCCAGGGATTAAGCTGTGTTGAAGAGGTGAGACACAGACAGACTGAGGGGAGGCACTAGGGTGTTGCTACTGGTGGACTAACTTGCAGAGCCTGCAGAAGCACTCTGCCTTTTGCTGAGATGCCATACTGTTGAGTGTGCATGATGGCGGGGGATATGGGAACCAAGCGTGGGGACCAGAGATTTTAGGAAAAGGTCTGTCAGGCCTTGTATTTGAAAGTCTGTGCACCAAATGAACTATTACCTATAGTCATGTACTTTTATATTTCATGTTCATGTTTAATTTTTCCTCATTGTGGAGTGCTTGAACCTTTGGCCTTGAAACTGTGTAATTTCACAGTGAAAGGAGGCCAAGAATGCCTCAGAGCAGCCCTCTTAGGAATGGGTGTGGGAACTGAGTGAGGAGCACTCAGAGGACATAGGCTAGTGCCTCTACACAGTAAATGCTAACATGCATTATTTAGTGGGTGACACAGGCCTTTCCAGATTAACTTTTGTGTACATGATGGTGTGTGTGTGTGTGTGTGTGTGTGTGTGCGTGCGTGTGTGTGTGTGTGTGTGAGTGTGTGTGTGTGTGAGTGTGTGTGTGTGTGTGTGTGTGTGTGTGTGTGTGTGTGTGGTGACCAGAGATTGTCTTCTGGTCCAGAGCTTACTGAATAGGCCAGCCTGGCTGGCCAGTGAGCCCCAGTGAGCCTCCTGTCTCCACCTGCCTTGTATTGGGGTGACAGGCATGTAATAAGCAAGCACATGCTTCGCTTTTTAATTCATGTTCTGAGGATCAGACTCAGGTCCTCATGCTCTTGTGGTGAGTGGGCACTTGACTAAGCATTTCCCCAGCTCCAAGGTTATTTTTTATTTTAAAAACAATCTTAGTTTACATACCAATCCCAGTTCCCTCTCCCTCCCATCCTCCCTTCCCTCCCCCCCACAAACACCCCCATCCTATCTCCCATCCACTCCTCAGGGAGGGTGAGGCCTCTTATGGGGGATCATAAAAGTCTGTCACATCATTTGGGGCAGGACTTAGGCCCTCCCCTGTGTATCTAGGCTGAGAGAGTATCCCTCCATAGGGAATGGGCTCCCAAAGCCCATTCATGCACTAGGGATAAATACTGGTTCCACTGCCAGAGGCCCCATAGACTGCCCAAGCCCTCTGTCACCCTCATTCAGAGGGCCTGGGTTGGTCTCATGCAAGTTCCCCAGCTGTCATACTGGGGTCTGTGAGCTCCCACTTGCTCAGGTCATCTGTTTATATGGTCTTGGCTCCTTTGCTCTTCACTCCTCCCTGTCTACAACTGAACTACAGGAATTTGAAATTATTTTTCTAACCTGGTCCCATTATAAAAAGTGACTTAGAAATGAGCAATGCTGCTGTTATAAAGAGTAATGTAGCAATGAACCATGCCATTGTTGGTGCTCACAGAATGCTCCCCCAGCCTTGATGTATAGGCATGTTGATACTTTGAACTAAAGAAACCAAAATCTCTCTGACTGCTTCCCAGTCCCTACCGCTCTCTTCCTCTCCAAAGTGTGAGACAGAGCTGCCCCTGAATGTCCTCATTCTAAAGCCTAAATGTTTCAGAAGATCAACTTTTAGGCAGACTAGATTTAACACCGCATTCGAAGCTTGTGTGGAATTTCCTCAGACTATGTATTCTTTTGGTTGTATTTTGGCTAAACCTAGTCCAAGCAATCATTTCTGACTCTGCCCCTGCATCCCAACCCCAGTCCCAAACCCTGCACCAATACTGGGATTACAGATACATATGGACATACCCAAATGCCCAGCCTTTTTTTTTTTTGTTTTAGCATGTTTGCTGGGTGATGGGGATGTCTTCTGTACATATGTTTCTCTTGTTGGTTGATGAATAAAACACTATGGCCAATAGGGCAGCAAGATAGGCAGGTCTAGGAGATGTGGAGGATTCTGGGAAGCATAGGCAGAGAGCAGTCATCATGTGATTCCTGGGAAGAAAAAATTTGAGTGAGGCGTTCTCTGGTAAGAAAAGACCACTTAGAAATACTTAGATTAATAGCTATGGGTTAATAATTAAGACAAAGCTAGCAAATAAGAAGCACTATCCAGCAGCCCACAGCTTTATAATTATTATAGCATCTGTGTGTTTATTTGGGGGCTCTGAGGCAGCTGTAGAACCATGCAGGAATTCTGTAACAGCTGGGGATCTAAGCTCAGGTCCTCATGCTTGCACAGCCAGCTCTTTCTCTAGCTCCAACTCACTAAAGAGAGAAATTAGATCTAGTAAAAGGAAATTCAAATGCCATGGTCATTAGAAAGGGGGAGTGTAGTTGCCTTGCAGATCTGTAGCTTGTTTGGGGTTAAGTTCAGTAACCAACAGTGAAGGACAGCTATGTACAAATTCATTTCTCAGATGTTCTTCATCTTTATCATTTACATTTCTGATATGCTTTGTGTGAGACTGTAGTTGTATTTTGTTTGTTTGTTTGTTTGTTTTCTCTTTTGGCTCTTTGGGGACTCCTACCATCTAGCTCCCAAATAAATACACACAGAGTCATATTCTTAATTAATGCTTGATCTTAGCTTGGCTTGTTTCTAGCCAGCTTTTCTTAAATTATCCCATTTACCTTTTGCCTCTGGGCTTTTATCTTTCTCTATTTCTGTATACCTTTCTTTACTTCTTACTCTGTGGTTTGCTATGTATCAGGGTGGCTGGCTCCCGGAGTCCTCCTCCTTCTCTTACTCCTGGATCCTTTCCTGCTTCTTGATTTTCTCCTCCTAGATTTCTCCTCCTATTTATTCTCTCTGCTTGCCAGCCCCACCTTCCTTTTTCCTGTCTTACGATTGGCTGTTTAGTTCCTTATTAGATCAATCAGGTGTTTTAGGCAGGCAAAGTAACACAGCTTCACAGAGTTAAACAAATGCAACATAAACGAATGCAACATATCTTTGCATCATTAAACAAATGTTCCACAGCATAATCAAATGTAACACACCTTAAAATAACATTCTACAACATGAAACCATGTCTCAAAAAAGTTTTTAAAAAGTGAGAAAAGGAAAAAAAAAAGAGACCTATGAAACAGTTTGAAAGCCCAGTATTAATACCCTCACTTATCTTTAAACAATGCTCTTTTAACTCAGTGTTAGAATTTGGACTTGGATGGATCAGAGTTGATAAAGCACTTCCCTTGCAAGCTGAGGACCTGAATCTGGTCCTGTTTTAGTTAGGGTTTCTGTTGCTGTGAAGAGACACAATGACTATGGCAACTCTTATGAAAGAAAGCATTTAATTGGGGTGGCTTACAGTTTCAGAGCTTTAGTGCATCATCATTATGGCAGGACCTGGCAGCATGCAGGCAGACATGGTGCTCAAAAAGGAGCTGAGAGTTCTACATCTTGATCTTCAGGCAACGTGAAATAAACTGTGTCACTATGTCACTTGAGCATACCCCCACAGTGACACACTTCCTCCATACCTACTCCAACAAGGTCACAGCTCTTAATAGTGCCACTCCCTATGAGCTTATGAGGCCAGTTACAATCAAACCACCACATTACACTGCCTAACACCAATAAACTTGTAATAATGTTTAAATGCAAAATGCATTTAGTTCAAAGTCTCTTCAGAGATTCATGCAATATCTTAACTCTAATCCCCTATAAAAACCAAATCACAAAACAGATTATGTACTTCCAACATATAATGGCATATATGATATCATTCCAAAACATATGGAAGGGAGCATAGTTAGGAAAGACTGGACTAAAGCAAGACCAAAATCCAGCTGGGCAAACTCTGCATCTTATGTGTGGAGTCAAAATGTTCTTCAAATCCCCAGCACCCACATAAGAAGCTAGATGTGGTAGCTTATTTGTAATCCCAGAGCTGGGGAGGCAGAGACAGGAGAATCTCTGGGGCTCACTGTCTAGCCAGCCAAGCCTAATTGGAGAGTGTCAGGCCAATCAATGAAAGACCTGGCCTCAAAGAAAGTGGACAGTGTTTCTAAAGAAAACTATCTGAGATGGTCCTTTGGCTTTCACACACACACACACACACACACACACACACACACGCACGCACGCACGCACACACGCACACGTTTATAAAAGAAGGTTAGCATTTGTAAGTAACTTTTATAAATAGCCAGCTCTTTGAGCAAAGACACCCTTCATACCTAGAGTACAAAATTCATTATTGAGTGTGCTCAATAGATGATAGCTGATTTGAGACTGTCTATTATAGAAAGATGGAATATTCTGCAAAGTTTTGGAGGAGGTATAAACTGTCAGGAAAGGTCACTAAACTTTACTAGGAGAATGAGGTTTCCATTGCTTGATTGTATACTTGGATTTAAGTTAACACAATTGCCTCATGTCCCACAGGAAATAGGGCAAAGTAGAAGGACAAAGTATCTGAGGTGTGTTCACTTTAAAGTTGTAGTTTACTGTAGCCCTGCCTATGACCTCTGAGAATCCAGTCTATGCCCAGTCTATGCCCCTGTCCCTCTGCGTTCTTTACACACTAACTTAGATGATTGATTGCTGCTTCTTTGATGTTTAAGCAATGGTTCATAATACCCATTTGACCCTCTGCTCATGGGCTTAGAATACTTTTTAAGACACTGTGTCATTCTGATGTCTCTCTCATGACTTTGCTTGAGAAGAAACATATGCACCCTCTGTAGAAAACAAGGTGGCAGATTAAAGAAAGACCCCTCGAGTTCAGATGGGGAGTCAATTAATTTATTGGGGTTATTTACCAAACCATCAGTGATTTGCATGCTGGTTTCACCACTGAAAAGCAAACCCCCAGTCAGTTTTGTATATCTAATATCCTGAGCACAGTTTGCATGGAGGAGAAGTGATTGGAATATCAAGGAAGCATCATGTGATACCCTTTCAGTATCCAAGAGGCAGTATAAACATCCCCTTAACCTTTCTGTGGATTGGCTTTCTGTTGTGTTGTTCTGTTTATTCACCATCATTACTGCAGACAAGGACACTGCAGCTATTCTCTTCAAGGTGGGACTAGTCCTGTTGAGTCCAGGGGAAGCTGGGTCTATGGTGGAACATATACAGAGATTTCCACTTATGCTATTTTCCTCTGGCCATTTACAATGTATTTGGTTTTCTAAGTATACTTCAGGTGGTTAAAAGCATAAAAGAGGCTTGTGGAGATTATATGTAGGCATTGTTACTGTTATATAAAGGAAATGGAGTGTCTGGAGATTTGGGCATAAGCAAGTGCCCTGGGACTGATGCCCTATGGGCCCCAAAGGACCACTGCGTTTTCTGTTGCTCTTCTCCCAGGGACAAGGCAGAAACTCATGCATTTTTGGAAATCCCAGTTTAGTACCTTTTGGGGTTTGTTTTCTTTTTAAGTGCTGAGAAATGAAGCCAGAGCTCCACATATGACAACAAGGGCTCTACCAACTCCACCGTGGCCCTGTGTTTCCTCCGTCTCAGCAGTTAGTGTTTAAGGAACAAATGAGCAAGTGAAAACACATCAGTGCTCCTGACTACCCCATAAACATTTTTAGGGAGCCATTCCTCTTGCTGAAGGTGGAGCAGCTTAGGGTAGATCTGAGTTACTTGGCCTTGCCGTCATCGAGGGTCGTTACACACATCAGTTATGGACCCCTTGTCTTTTAACTGTTTTTCTTTCATCTTAGAGAACATTGCAGTGGTTGGGGATATAGCTCAGTGATGGAGTGCTTGCTGGACATACACAAAACCCTACCTTCAGTCCTTCCCATCCTTCCTATCAAGAGAAGGGAGGGACATAAGAACAGAGAGGTGGGGAGACACACACACACACACATGCACACAGAGAGGGGGAGGGAGGGAGGGAGAGAGAGAGGGGGAGAGAGAGAGGGAGAGAGGGAGGAAGGGAGAGAGGGAGAAAGAGAGAGAGGGAGGGAGGGAGAGAGAGGCGGGGGAGGGGAGAGTATGTTCTCAGGCAAGCAGGGTTGAGGGAGTTGACTAAAGTATTAGTTTAGCCTTTCCAATCTAACAAAAACAATTTCTGATTACATGTATTTATTAACAGGTTGCGCCCTGTGTTTACCTGGCATTTACACTCTAAATGGACTTTTCAAAGTACAGGTTCTGGACTGTGAAATGGTCCAGCCACTAAAAGCACTTTATGTGCAAGCCTGGCAACCTGACTTTGGCCCCAGGAACCCATGCTAGGAAAAAACTGACTCCTAAAAGTTGTCCTCTGACCACACATGTACTGTGGCACTTCTTTGCAGGCCTCCCCACAACAAATCATAAAATAAAAGTTTTTTTCTTTTTTCCAAATCAGGATCCTTGCAGTTCCCAAGGTAGACCAGAAGTCCCCAGTCTTGAGACGTACGCGAGAGATGAGGCTGTGCTTGTGACTAGAGGACAGAGTGGGCTTCATGTGCTCTGCCATCCTCAGCTTTGGAAATGTCTGGTTTCATACAGTTAATTCTCTTGGTCTGATTATGTCAGTGGGGCAGTGCTCTGTCTGTCCATCTCTGCTTCAGCCAGCTTTGTGATTTCATCCATCCTTGGTAGGCCTGCCTGCCTACCAAAAGCAAGGAGTACATGGCAAGCCCAAGTCATTTCGAATTACTGTTACTGCTGTTATTGAACACAGTGCATCCTCTTGCCCCACTGAAGATGATGCCATCATATATGTTGTATGTTTTCTGTTTATGCCCATGTTTGAAAGTCAATTCTTGTGTTTTTACTTCTAGGTCTATGTTCTTTTTCTTACACATCATAAGTCTGCTGATAATCTTTTTCCTGCCAATCAAACCACGCCAGCCTCAAAGGCAGCCTCAAAGTGAAAATTCTGTAAAGAAGAAGGTGAACTGATACCCACAAAGAGAAGCTGAAAAACAGAATTGCAGGACACTGGGAAGACACAATGGACAGAATTGCAGGACACTGGGAAGACACAATGGACAGGCTTGAGGATTCTCCAGTGACTTAGAGGAGATGTTTACATGCGTTCTTTTTTTCACTGCAGGGAATATTTTTATAAGTCCTTTTTTTTTCTACAGTTAAAATCACTATGCCTAGCTTTGTCTTCATATTTTACAGGGCTGTTCAGTGACACAGTGTAGAACAGGCCACTGGGTCAGCTCTTCTGAAATCCTTTCCATCAGTTGAAATCTGGATGCATGGATCCAGGCATTGCCTCCAATACTTAGGAGGTATCTGCTGAGATGACTTGTCCTAGATTTCTGAAATCAGAACATTCCCAGGCATGATTTTCCCTGGCAACTCTGGACCCTTGGATGTGTGACTTACCCGGTTGTGGACACAACTCCTATGCCCAGAAGCCCTTAAAGGGAAGTGATTATGGAGGGATGTTTTTAGGGTGTTGGAAAAAACCTCCAAAGACAGTGAGGATTATCCCTGAATGCTTGAATGGATTGGTGTGCCCTCAAACAGGCTGCGTTATTTTCCCCCAGAAATGTATCATTCCCTTTCTTCCTTCTGAACTGAGCCAAGATCAGAAATCAGAAAGTTTCCGGCCTGTGTGCCCCAGGAGCTGGGGAGTAGGAGGGGGCTCCTGGTTTCCCTTTCACCTGCTTTGATCTGCTTGATTGACCTGTATTGGCCCCGAGAAGGCACCCAGACACTGATACTGTCAAAGGTGGCAAAGAAATAATTGCTTTCAGTAGATAGAGGTTCTCTTTTCTCCCTACATGTCTTGGAAGTGTCAGTGATCATTGCCAATGTGTAGACACAGACTGATTCTTGTAATGGATTAAATTCAGCTTTATTTTAAGTAAACTGTCATGTTGGGAAGCTGCAGCTGAATGACAGTGCTCTACTCTGTCTTCATTATGAATGTGCAGTGGCTCCTTTGGAGGATTTCCACTGGGTAAAATAGTCTATGAAAGAAGGAAACATAATATTTAAAATGTGGAAAATAATGAGAATAATAATAATAATAATAGTAATAATAATAAAATATATGCTTCAGTGATGTGCCCTGGGAGCTGAAAATTTGTTCTGATCAGATAATAAAAAAATTGGTTTCTCACTGAATAAATAATATATTTCTATTTTAGGAAATGATTCCTTATGGAAGAATTGTTTCTTGCTTGGGTCAACTTGTGTATGTTTTCTTTGTCCTAAGTTTTCACACTGTAGCATGGTCAGTGTTCACCGTGTGTCAGGAAGGGGACAGTTTTGGTTTCTTTATATGATTTCTTATCTTCATTCACAGCATTGTATGACTTATTTCCCCTACAAAGGAAGGGTCTATGGGTTACAGACACTAGCTAGTGGCCCTGTGTCACAGAATTAGTGATGTAACTGAGACTTCAGTCGAGGGCACTCACGTGTGAGCCACTAGCCATGGGCCTTTCCATGCTGTACCCTTCTGGAACATCCAGGAAGCCTTATACCTTGGCTTTGAACACATTTAATTATCAGTCTTGGTGCTGGGTAGGCAGACAGTAGTCCCTCCCTGAGGTATCAGTGGGGGGTTGGTTCAGGAACCACTTCTTGATTCCAGAGTCTAATGATGATCAAGTTCTGTGCATAAAATGGCACATAATTTGCATAAAACTTATGCATAATCCCTTGTGTATTTCAACTAGTCTTTGGATTGCTTACAATAGCGAATATTGGGTAAATTATTGTTATAATGTAATGTTTAGGAAAGAGAAAGAAAAATGCCTATACATGTCGGTATAGTCATCACCTCCTCCCAATATCACAGAAACAGGAAGAAACAAGCCAGCAGGAATCGAGAGGAAGTAGACGCTGAAGCTGAAAGTGATGGGGAGAATGAACAAGCAGTGGGAGGTTCCGTGCATGCTACAGCTGAGCAGCAAGGATCAGAATATCCTGGACTTCTAGTTCCTCCACGGTGTACCCAGTGTATGAGGCTCATTCCATTTTAACCGGGAACTCATGGGACAAACCCACCTTAGAATCCCAAGAACAGTGTTTGTGATAAAGGGTGGGACACAGGTGCCTCCAGCAGGAACATTGTGTGGTACAAACATGAAAAAAAAATCACACTGAAGAGAGGTAACCATCAGGATTGGCATGAAGCATGAGTGAGCCATACTGAGAGAAGTTCTTTCTTAGCAGCCTTCCCTATGTAAGCGTCTTACTTCTGAGAGAAGAACCTTGGTGATGGGCTGAGAGGCGGCTGCTGCTAGCTCACTTCTGTGAGGCTTTTCATGAACTCTGAAGGGACAGCACACAGGAGGGCAAGTCAGCCTTATCTCCAAGAACCATTTCCCTATGGTTTCTCTCTAGCACCAGGATTGCCATTCTGTCTGTAATATAAGGTGTGTTTAATAAAAATGAGATGGATGGGGGGGGAGGTTGGGTTGAAATCAATAGATTTTCGGCTTTTTCTAAATTAAAGTTTATATTTTTGAGTGTTTGCCTGCATGTATGTATGACCATCATGTGTGTGCCCAGAGGGCAGGACAGGACATGGATTCTATGGACCTGGAATTACTGATGGTTGTGGGTCCTTGAAGTTGAACCTGTGCCCTCTGCAAGAATAGCAGTGCCTTTACTATTGCACCACTTCTCCGGCTCCTGGTTTCATTTATTTTTAAAGACAAATGTAAAGTAGTCTGTTTTAGTTTTTTTGTTTGTTTGTTTGTTTTTTGTACTTGACTTTTTAGGTAACCCCAAGGAACAACAGTATTACTCAGTAGTTGAGAAAAGCAGTAAGGAAGTCTGTCTGAAATTCCGACTGGTTAAGAGGGAAGGCTGGGACAGGAACATAGGAGTTGACAGTTGTTCCTGGAAATGGTGGGGCTCAGGCTGTATGTCCCAAGTGTCTGGGCAGTGAGTGAATGACTCATTTTCTCACCTCTACTGTACATCTGAACTACTTAGGAAGCTTAAAAAAATCAATGCCTTGTGGTTTAGAAACTTCATCTTTTCTCTCCCATTGTCTTGGGCACTTGGCATAATGCCTGCTGTGTAATGAAGATTTAGTGCTTGTTGAGTGAATGAAGGATTGAATGGATTAGCTTAATGTGTCATTGCTCTGGACAGTTCTGATTGAGCTGTGTTTGCACTGGGAAATGTTTCTGCTTTTCAAAGTTAGTTTTTGAGGTAAAGGCCTAGGTTTGTAGAGAATGCTGGAAGCATGTTATGGATTGGGAGTGGGGGATCACTCAGTTTACATAGCCTGCGCCATCCATTCTCTAATTAATGCATTTATTTACTTATCATTATTTGGTGTGGGCTTGACATTCTTAGACACTGCAAGTAAAAGATGCTGGAGACCCATTCTCTACCCTACACATTGATCCAAGAAAGATATGGTTCAGACTCCTGTGCCACAGGGATGCCCTGGACACATTCAGCACTCCCAAATTAGAAGGCAGTTGGGTTGGTGACCTTACCTCTTCTTTTCTGCAAGTTTCAAGCGCTATTTCTTATTATGCTCTACCCAGGACAGCAACCGCACTGCCTTCCATCCTGCTGCCCAGAAAGTTAAGTCTGCCCTCGTCTGAAGACACATTGACCTCAAGCAAATCATCAGGGCATCAGCTTTGCCATCAAGCAGGCTCCTCTAGCATGGCTACCTGCAGAGGTAATTTCAGGCCCAGCAAGTGACTTCATGGGGCTCATGAGGAAAGTTATTTTTCTAGAAAAGTCCCAGCTCACATGAATTTTTTCAAACACCCTATGTTTGCCTGCTCCTGGCTATGAAGAGGAGCAGAAACATCCATGAACAGCTTTTTCTCACTTGTTTCCCCCTTATGGTTCTGTGAACTTGGCAATGGCCTTGTCTGTGCAGAGATGGAAGCCAAGGCTCAGGAACTACAGGTGTCCAGATGAAGTTACAACAGGTTCAGCTGGAAATCCAATTGGCTTTTATTTGTGGCTCATTAACCAAACAGCTTCTGGTGGCCAAACAGAATGAGCTATCAGTGAGCGGGGCAGACAACAGGTCTGTAATGTGGAAAAAATGGGAAATCGGGAACATCAGGTTGCTTCAGGTTATTTATATCTTCGTAACAAGTGAAGCATGGGGTGTTTCATATGGTACGAAGGCAGGTCAATTGGAATTTTCTTTGTAGGAAAAACAGACCTGTTTGGAAATCTGTTTGCTACCTTAGCATGACTGATTGCATTCTGGCTTGATCTGGATTAGTAATGCCTTGTGTAGAAGCTCAGTTCAAAATGGTGGCCTCCCATAAACTGTAGTTAACACAAGTAGCAGGCTCAAGTTCACCCTGATAGTGGACAAACTGGGATTGGAATCCTGGATGGACTGAGTCAAGAGTACATCTGACTGCAGAACTTGTTTTCAGAGCAACAGCCACCTTTGGAGCCAAGAGTAACTCTAGCACTCACCTGGCCCAGAGGTTTCCAGATGTACGCTGGCTGGCCCCGCCACTTGGAAGCTTGCAAGGTGTAGAGAAATTGATATGCTATAGAAGTTCATGTAGCCACTTCCACATTGGAGCAAGTCATTCACGGCAGCATGATTCTGTTTTCCTGGACAGCAGTCACTCATGTGGCTCAGAATAATCTTCCCCATGTTCCATTTAAGCTGAGAGCTGTGTTTTGCAATGGTAGTAAATCCTCCATTTTACAGAGGGGGGAGCTAAGGAACTCAAGGAGTAGAGGAGGAGAGTGGAAACCAAGCTGGCCAGTTAGCTGGTGTTATAGTTACAGATATTCTATCAACACCTTTGTTCCCAAAGGCCCTTTTGTTTACTATGATCCATGATGTATTTTGAGATGTGTAGAGGACCAAAGGTTTCCCTAGACTTTGGGTATTTGAAGCCCGTTACAAAAAAGCAAGTTGCTTTTCTGGAAATGAATGACACTGTGGGAGGTCTAAGCGCAGAGCACCAAGGAGCATAGCAAGGACACAACAGAAGTTTGAGGTCAAAGGAGGAGAATTCCTAGTAGGTAGACTGGTCTGGTGACCTTCAAGCACAGGAAGGTGTCTAGTTGCTGGGTTGTTTGTCTCTTAGCTAGAGAGACTTATCTTTGCAGTGCTGGGATCTCATGTCTGCTAGGCAAATGCTCTATCACTGAACCACACCCACAGCTCTCTAGAAATGTCCTCAGCCCCAGAAAAGGCTATACTTGGTTCCAATTTTGATTGACATTGGCAAGAGAAAGGAGAAAAGACTGGATAAGACAGAGAATCAGAAAGCGCTAAAGAGTGACCAAGATATGCCTAGCTAAGCCTCCGGTTAAGATCACCACTTGTTCCGGCTAAGATCCTGTCTGTTTTTGAAGGTTGCTATGCACCTATTGTTTGCATTTCCAAGCATGTCTATAAGTCAAGAGATCTTAGGATAATGGATGCTTACTACATCCATTGTGACTTGGTCCTGGAAACCTGACAGGGGGCGACTTGTGGATGAAGAAAGGACAGACACACATACAGAAAATCTAGGATTGGATGGGCTGTGCTTGCTCTGACAGAGGACATCTATTTCACAACCCAGAAACTCAGCAAGCTTATTATGTACAACATAAGGGAAGGAGGGATTAGCTAGTCTCTATGTACGGTCTCTGTAGGAGAGCAGTCTCAGGCTACAAACATCAAGGAGGAGTTACATGTGGTGTCAAAGCTTTCTGCACACTCAGTATTCAAACAGAACCAGAGGAAGGCTTTTCCGTGTCCTGGAGTCCGACCTGGGGATGGCTTTGCCACTCCCACAGGTCTGAGGCATTGGTGTCCTTGACATGGCCACGCTAATGTCAAAAACATATATTCACTCAGGACCTCATCTGTTCTCTGGAGATGCCTTCATAGATCTTGGTTACAAACATCCCAGAGAAGCTGGGTGGTGGTGGCACACGCCTTTTAATCCCAGCACTTGGGAGGCAGAGGCAGGCAGATCTCTGTGAATTCGAGACCAGCCTGGTCTACAAGAGCTAGTTCCAGGACAGCCTTCAAAGCCACAAAGAAACCCTGCCTCTAAATACAAAAAAAAAAAAAAATCCCAGAGGCTCGCTCTGCAGATATCACGGTTGAGGAGCGTATCTGGAGCTCTGCCTAGAGTCTACAGAATGCTGATGTGTAACCGGGTCAGAATTGATGGTATGGTTTTGCCT